GTGTATGCTTAGTCTATTATTCTACACTCAAAAATTTTATTTGCGTACTCAATAAAAAAAACTAGAGGTCGTCCAGTGGTCGAAAACTCGACCACAAAATATGTAGGCAACAGTTGGATTTTTTAGCTAGAAGCGGTTGAGGTATGTTGTTTATCTATGAGGATGAACCTTTTGGCTATAGTGAGTGATATAATCTATTCAATGTTCACATGTCAATTGTTGAGGTTAAATCAAAATAAACAAACTGGCATGTTGTCAATTAATTAGGGACAATGTTGTATTACTTACGAAAGAATGTTCGTTTTTAAGATCAAATAAATTAATTTAGTATATGTCATTGTCTGATTTATTTGAAAACATTCAGTATTTAGGCTACTGCATTTTATAACCAAACTCGAATCTCGCTCCCTTAGCCTATCGTATAACGTTTTCCTGTTTGGTACCTGGTAAACTTCAGATTGCATAAGTGAATTATTAGCAATACAATTTAATTGTTAATTATAATTTAGATGGGTCAAATTCAAAACATTAGTCTATAAAAGTTGATCTCGTCATCTCGAGAGTAGGCCTATATAATTCGGACCCCTAACTTGAAACTCTTAAAAGATGGGTCTGGGTCTTAAGATATTTCCAAACGAAACGTAAATCATCATTATGTCCCAACAGTTTATCATGTGTATCCCAGGGACAGCAACTTTATTATTCTATTAATATAATAATCGACATAAATTTTGCAAGAAGATTCATTATTTTAATATTTGCTCATGTTAAATTAATTATTTTCAAAGTAACCATCACTTAATTCGAAGAAAATAATTAAATAAAAATGTATTCATTCGTTGATTTGGAATTAGGAATCACGTCTCTATTTCACAGTAAATATTCTCTAATGATCAAGTGATTTTATTAAAGTAGAGTAAGTATATTTAACTATTGTCAAAGAATACATTATGCCAGTTTGTTTGTTTTCATTTAACCCTCAAAATTTAACATGTATGAACACATGATCGCACGAAAAAGGTTCATCTTCAAAGATATTGCACCACACCTTAACCACTTCTAGCCAAAAAATCCAGTTGCATTGTACAGACTTCTCTATTTTTCACCCATACACTGTAAATAAAACATGTGTTTGGAATTGCTTACATTTGTTTTGATTTTCTGTTTATATTTCGTTGTTATTTCGTCACCAGCATGGCAACCCATAAAGCCCATGTTATTTTTTTCTTTTCCAATTCATTTTTTGGGCTTATTTTTTGCCTATTTTAATTTTTAAAGGGATTCTGCACATCTACAGGAAAATATCTTTCTAACAGTATGAGTAAATTTTCCCTGCGATGCACAAAAGCTAAAAAACAAGGTTTTAAAGAAACATGCTTGCCTATTAATATATAGATAGATACTGTACATATTAGTTTCCTTGAGAGCAAACTGTATGTAGTTCAGCCTTGATGTAACAATTTCCCCCCTCCCATTAGTTCGCCACATTATGCTAATGCACTGCTGAAATAATAAAATATAGTTTATTTCCTTCGCATTGATTATTTGAATTATATTGGGGATATTTACCCCCATGAAAAAACGCCTACGTCATTTTGACGTCACAAGGGGCGGGGCCTATACACGGTCGAGAAACAGCCCGCGACTGGAAATCTACCCCCGGACATCTACCCCCGGAAATCTACCCCCAGACATCTACCCCCGGACATCTACCCCCATACATCTACCCCCGGACATCTACCCCCGGAAATCTACCCCCAGACATCTACCCCCCGTGGTCAGCTCTGTCACGTATCGGCCAATATTCATTGTTGTAATTGATTTTATTGACTGTTTTATGTAAATAAACGGCTCTTCGGTTAGTAATTGCCCTCTAATATCTAGTATTACGCATGTGATATGTCATTGTCTTGTTTAACATTATCTATCTTCCTAATGAAATGGGCTGTAACAGCCCTTTTTCACCCAAACTACTTCATCGATTTTTATGATCGAGGTGTAATTTTAAATCTTAAGATCTAGCGCAACGCAAAATGGTAATTAAAACGATATTTTGATAAAGGGCTTCAAAAGATTGACCCATAAGCAAACCTTTAAAAGTTCCTTTCCCAGATTTGTTTACATTATTGTCATATGGATAATTTTTCACTACTTTTAATGAAACAGCTGTTAATATTAAAATTGTATTTTAAACAACACATAGAGAGTTACTGAGTTTGTCAAAAAGAAGTATTTACAATGTAGTTTTCTGATTTAAAAATGTATTTTGTTCTGCATCATCTCATGTTCTGCAATACAGTATAACGTTCCATTACGAAATCATTGGAAAATATTACATACAGTAACTATTAAAATTATTACTTATTGAATTATCTTATATCTATTGTAGGCCTACGGCTGGTGTCTGCATTTTTGACCACTTTTGCTAATATTTTGTCATATCTAAGACAGATCATCATAGGTTCATAAGATTATTTTCATACATGTTTTCAGTTATTGGAAAAGATTTCGATTGTGTAATACAATACAAAATAATTCAAGTGCAGAAGGGCACGTTGCCCATATGAGCCGTGTATATATTTTTAAATTAATAGTGGTTTACAGCAAATGGATTAAATTTATAATAATTTTTATGAAGAAATATGTGTACGATTAAGTCATTAATCTGCCAAATTGCAATTTATTGCAGACTTGTTAGAGATGTTACTTTGATGTATTCATTCAGCTTAGTGAAAACACAATAGAGCCTTTGAATGTTATTAAACTAACTACATACTACAAAAAAGGTTCAGACCAGGGCTATTTTAATGCGCTTGGATTGAGACATTTATTAATCCGGCTTATATTTTTCTTAGCCAACGAATTATTTATCTACAGAAGAAGTTCATTGTGATCTTATCCTGTCTACTAAGACACATACATCCAACACATTATAATTTCACTCTGTCACAGTTAAAAGAATTATCGTAAGCCTTTAAAGCAACCGTCGATTTTGACGGGTTTCACCTAGTAATTAATTAATTTATTGGTCAACCAGTGGCAGGTTTTTTATCAACATTTAACTGCACTGTATTTTTACCTCTAGTAATCAGTAAATAACCTCCTTCAATGATATGTATTAAATTTCACGATCTGCGCTCGTGCATGCGCCGTTAGGTGTTACTGTGTGTGAAAGTTGGCCAAACATTTAAATCACTGTCTAGAAATAAATCAAATGCTTAAGGGTCAAACTTTTGAAGCCCTTTATCAAAATATTGTTTTAATTACCATTTTGCGTTGCGCTAGATCTTAAGATTTAAAATTACACCTCGATCATAAAAATCGGTCAAGTAGTTCGGGTGAAAAAGGGATGTTACAGCCTATTTCATTAGGAAGATAGATAATGTTAAACAAGACAATGACATGTCACATGCGTAATACTAGATATTAGAGGGCAATTACTAACCGAAGAGCCGTTTATTTACATAAAACAGTCAATAAAATCAATTACAACAATGAATATTGGCCGATACGTGACAGAGCTGACCACGGGGGGTAGATGTCTGGGGGTAGATTTCCGGGGGTAGATGTCCGGGGGTAGATGTCTGGGGGTAGATTTCCGGGGGTAGATGTCCGGGGGTAGATGTCTGGGGGTAGATGTCTGAGGGTAGATGTCCGGGGGTAGATGTCTGGGGGTAGATGTCCGGGGGTAGATGTCCGGGGGTAGATTTCCAGTCGCGGGCAGTTTCTCGACCGTGTATAGGCCCCGCCCCTCGTGACGTCAAAATGACGTAGGCGTTTTTTCATGGGGGTAAATATCCGGGGGTAGAAATCCGCTACCCCCTTCCCTCACAATATTAATGTTGCTTAAGGGGGGAGTTCAAATAAAAAGTGAAAATCTTTATTTACAAACCAATTTTACTCATACTACACCTTAAGGTGAAGTTAAATAAAACATACAGAAAAAACTGGAAATTTTTTTTTCCACTACCCAAGGGTGGGGGGGGGGATTTTTTGTGTATTGGAAGGGTTTGCGATAACATAAATTTCTCAGGTTTTAAAAGTGATAGAGGGTTGTTTTTTTTTTAATCTGTTCCTGAGAGTAATACCTACAATCTCTAGCATGGGTTTAAGGAAATTATATAAAATAAAATTACAGTAAATTTTTAAATTTTGAAATATTTTTGTCCACAAAATAACTGGTAAAAACTTTTTTTTAAATATTTTAATGACAATATTTTTACAAATCCATGCTAGAGATTGTAGATCTTGTCAAACTGAACAAAATAAAAAAAATGTCATCCTTCTATCTAGTATAGAACTTGAGATATTTATGTTCCCATGCGAAAAAAGTAAACTTTTGAAAAACTACCGAATACCAAAACACGGTGCTTTTAGTGATTGACGGAATGCAACTTCAAAGTATTTTTTTATGAGAAAAAAAAATCGTATAAGGTTGGTTTTAACTGTTTTATGTTCAGAATTTAATAAATAATAAAAACATAAAAAAAATAAAAAATTGTAAAAATTCTTTTTTTGGCCATTTTTGGCAACGACCGAATACCAAAACACGGTGCTTTTAGTGATTGACAAAGTGCTACTTCAAAGTATTTTTTTATGAGAAAAAAAAATCGTATAAGGTTGGTTTTAACTGTTTTATGTTCAGAATGTAATATATAATAAAAAAAAAATAAAAAAAAAAATTTTAAAAATTCATATTTTGGCCATTTTTGGCGTGAACTCCCCCCTTAACAACAGTAGATTGGGTTGTAGCCTAGTAATAGACTTCGGTCTTAACCCTACTTTATGCGATGATATGCAGGAGGATATCGATGTGTTAGGAAAATTCAAACCATTATATTGGTTAGGGCCTACAATTTACAATATAATTTCCAATTGTATATAAAGTAAAAAAGAGTAATTTAAAATACACATGTACATTAATAGTACTGACTAACAATCCTAGGGTTTATTCAATTGTAATAGTCAGTCACAATTATTATTGGTTAATTCTAACATACCTTTAAATAGATAATTGGCCTCCTCCAGATCACTGACGTACTGCATTGCTGCCTCGACGTCAATGTGGTTATGATGCAGTCCCATCGTATCACTATATCACTGTCACTGTCACTAGATCACTACACGCCCACCGCTAGTCACTAGTGATGCACCACGCTTTCATACTCCAACACCACCGCAGCGCGCCTCAGTGGCTTTACAGATCAGCTGGCCAATCAGCTGATAATGGCCATATGTTTACGCATTGTTGAGAAGAGTGGTTAACAAGCTTGGTACACGTTCCTCTAACACTAAAAAGCACAAATATATACATCATTATGGTTACCTCCTATCTGTGTTTATATGGAATTTATAAAGAAAGCCTGCGTATGCCCGAATTAGTAAATATGTTTTGAGTGCATAGCTAAGAGCAACAAATGACATTTTTTTCAGCCTATATTCTTAGTGGCGCACAATGCAGTCCTTGTGTTGAAACTGAAATGCGTAGCTTCAGAAAGCAATAGCTTGACTGGTTAACCTTCAGACAAACTTCATTCAGGAAATAGTACATTTAACTCTCAGGAAGGATATAGTGTAACCTCTTATTACCCTGCAATGCTACCAATAGTCAAAAAACCGCGGAATTAATCTCCAGCCAATCATTATTCGGTGTCCCAGTCGTGCCAACTGCCAACCCTGAAAACTGAGTTTCCCCCACTTTCTCTCACGATCTACCGAAGACTAAAGTTTACGGACAATGGGGCTTGGTTACCATATGATTATCCGAGGCCTTCTCAAGATTTTATCTGGACTATTATATAATCTAAATCACAAGATACTTATATATCACCATTAGGGTGTCCGGAAAGATGCGGACAAGGGAAGTTCCGGACAAATAGGGGAAGTTCCGGGGAGTTTGAGCCGAGGGGGTAGCAAAAGGCAGGGGTGGCTAAGCTATGTGAAAGGCTCTTTAAATCGACTAGTTTTCCCAATCCAGATCCGCAGTTTTGCTATTGAATAATGCACATTTTATCTAAAAAAAAATAGGTTTTAAAGATTAACTTATTTAGCAATATTTGAGTAAAGAAGAAACTATTTACTGACAGCATTTTTCATAGTTATGCGTCCCTAATTAATGGTTGATAACCATTGATTATGAAAATAACAGTATTGCTAATTCTACAGTAGATTAACAGCCAACGTAATCACCCAACTTCCATTAAGACGATTTAATAGAAAAAAACTATTAACTAAAACTATTTTTCGATTTTTTATAGAAAAAAAACTTGGTTAAATATACTAACCCCTGTACCTAATTTAATTTAGGAGTGTGGTCCGTTCTCTTTGTATAAAGATAAAATGAGACATGTTAATCGGTTTAGTGAATAGAAGAAAAATAGTTCACTCTTCATCTGTGCTCTAAGCTCTACTCCCGGGGTAAATCGTGTTAATTGGCTTAGAGACGCTGAGACAATGACAGTCAAACATACAGAAACTGATATAATACCTACTCGTTACGGCATTCTTAGGAATATTGGACATAAAAGTAGCATAACTCTATGCAACGTGAAAACAATACCGTAATTTTGTTTATAAGTTTAGTTTATAGTACAAATCCATCATTATGTTTTAAGTTGTAACGTATAATAACGAAAACATATTTATAATAATGTGATACTGTAGTATATTATATTTAGTATAGAAGTATTTTTGTAAAGAATACTTAAATATTTGATATAGGCTACATTGAACTTATTAGAAATGTAGGCCTATTAAAATCTAGCATGTTTCGTTAGTTTTTTTTTTCTCCTGTCTTTCACATTTTTAAGTCTTATGATTCGAAATGTTGATTTTACTTTATAATCGTTATTTTAGCTCTGCGAACTGAAACAGGAGAGCGATTCGTTTTAGAGAGTTGTTCGGGTAGCTTAGTTTGACTTCGCTCCTCTCCCCCGGCTCACACCACATGTGTGCGGAACTTTACTTGTCCGCATCTTTCCTGAACTTCACTTGGACCCTCTGTATTTATTTTTAATTTTTCGAGTATTCTATAACTTTTCTATAACCTTTATCAGACCATGCTTGGTTGGGTACATTTTGTTTAGATAAGAATCAGATAGGTCAACCTTACTAGATAAGGCCAAACTAAGGGCAATAAAGCTGCAATTATGGGATATCCACGTGGACTCCAGAGAAAAGTATTTTTAAATCAAATTCAAACTGAGGTAAATATCAGATTTTAGAATCTAGGTAAAACATTGTATCACCAAAAACAGAGGTAAACTACACTAAACTATTTAAAAAAAATTATTGATTAATAATGTGATACGATACATCGCAAAAATTCATCGACAAAGAGGATCGATTAGTCGCTCAAATTAAATCAACAACAACAACACGTAGCAACACAGACACAAAACATCTATTAATTGAATTGCATTAGTCCATTCAGAGTGGAATAAAAGAAATTCCAGTGTGGTTGCCGTTGGCGCTTTGCTGTTGCATAGCGAAGGCCAAGGAGAATTGCTCCATTATGTCATTGTGGGACCAGTAAAATGAAGTACAAGTGACCAATGGCGAGAGCGCGCCAGAGCGGTGACTCACGCCAGCTGTTGAGATGCGCGCCTTTATTTGAATCTGGTGTCTGGTGTCATGGTGTCAATGTTCGCCAGCCTAGCCAATAGCGGGTATGCTATCGCTAACTTGACCTCTGATAACCACGCAACAGATAACGGTCATCTGTTTGAATTTGAAACTTTAGACCATACAAACCACCAACGAAAATGCTAATATTGTGTAGGCATACTACAAATAATTTTATAAGTTACTATAATATGACAATTCGATGATACTGATTCATTAGGATCATATACAATATGATGATTACTTGAGTTAGATATGGGTGTTTCAAACTTACTGATATTTGAACAAAAGTTTCGTTCCGAACCCATTACAAATGATCATATACAATTACAAAAAAAAAACTATTGTCCAAGCGAGAAAATTATACAACCAAGACGATTGAGTTGTAGTAAGATTAAAAACTTGTTAATCGCTCTGGTATACAAACGTTCATTTAGATTTCATGGGTAGGATAGCAGAACGACAAAGGCAGCCTCTATAGCTACGTATTTATAGACCCCTCCACCTGTTCTAGACCTTTTCTTTCAAAAGCTCTTTCAAACCAGAGGTAAAATCGAGCCGTAGCTTGCACCTGTCTTTGTCTGTATGGAAATACTGTACGAAAAAAATCGGTGCATAACCTTATATATATATATATATGTATATTTCTATTTTTGCTTCTTATTAAAAAAAGAGCAAATTCCGAACTCTTTCCTTTAATGTCGGTTGATAATGCTAGACCTTGTATTGATTATACGGAAAGCAAGTTTTGTTATTGAATGCCAAATTAACAGTCTTTGAATGAACGTGGATATCTGATCGCTAATTCTGTTTATTAGAAGGCGACCAATAACTTCCGGCCTTCACAATAATCTAGCCCGAGCAATCTTAGACATATCAACAATGGGATCTTTTAATCAAACGGAGATATTGTACAGTGTTGTACAGCTAGTACTACGAAACATACTTCAGTTTATTAGAAAATTGTTACTTGGTTTAAGATTAGGGTACGGGAAGATAGATATAACAAGTACCTATTCGATTGTTTTACTTAATTAATACATCGATATCGCTAATCGAGGCGTATTATTTTTCTTTCTGGTAATGGAAATGTGTAAAATATTAACAAGTATGAACCGATCATCTTTGATGAATGTAGAAATAATGTTTCAACTTATTTAATTTACAACTGTATAAACATGTTATTATGTCACTTATGGTCTATGTATAAGTTTCTGTAATGGTTCTGTATTTTGCATAGCAGAGAGTTATTATTTATGCTTAAAACATCGATAGATATTATTTATCTATATTCTTTCATGAAGTCAGCTTTACTACTTACTGAACTTTTAGCACTCCATACAAAATGTGCCCTAATAAAAGAAAATTGTGGTAAAATATATACTGTTTACGATTAAATCACCAATGCACACACTATAAACTCTTATAAACAAAAGTCACTTTACCGAGGGCGACACGGACACGATACTTGACTCGACTGAAATCTTATCCGAGCGAAGGGCAGGAAATAGTGGGCTCAAGAGGCGAGCAAGAAGCAAGCAAGGTCCTTCCGAAAAAAAGGGCTGTAGCAGCGCGGCCCTGCGGACACTGTGCGAACTACACTACACACCGCGCGACCACGCAATTGTTCGAGTGTGGACACTGGCCAATCAGCTGATAGGAGCGAGCCAACAGCTGAGAATGCGCTTGAGCAACAAACATAACCTCAAACAACAGCCTTAAATTATCTTTATCGTGGACAGATAATCGTTCAATCCAATCGAACTAACACCTGACTGTCTGAACATTCGTCAATCAACCGATAAGGAAAGTGGAGCTAGAATGCAGTGGTGCAACAAACTGCAAACTAACTACACTACGACACGCGCCTATTGTCAGTAGTCAGTAGTCGACTCCAGTCCATAGAATCTTGGATCTACACACTAGACAGACACACTGAACACTTGCCAAACTGTGACTATTGCCTCGCCAAGCCGCTCGATTGGTTGGCGTGGTGAAGCGTTTGTTCTACATTCTCCCCTTGTTTGGAAGGCGGAATTTCCGGCGATGTTACGCCTCTAGGCTGTTAATTACTGTTTCGTGTGGTCAGACCTAGCTGGTCATTGCGTTGCATACTTTTGGGGACATTAGTGAGTTTAGAATAGATCTAGGTTTGTAAAAGAAAACATTCTGTCTCAGTAAATAGTTATTTGTGTAACTAGTGGTGAAATTGGCACTTTGCTGCACACGAGAGCAATGTTTACGCACGAGCCGCAGGCGAGTGTGGAATGCTCGAGTGCAGCAAAGGCCTTTTTCACTCGTGTTACACATTTTTTTTTTCCTACAGTCACTATAAAGCATATAAATAATTAGTCTTTCAAACACTATGCAACACGTTTTTAGGTTCAGCTGGCAACACAAATGGTGCCCTAGAGAAAGTAGTACCCGTGGTCCATATCACTCCGCTATTTTTCCTCGGCAAGAAATTTGCTCCGCGTTTTGAGAATATAGTTCCGTATGTTTTTGTAATTTGAAGTGGTTTCCGCACCTAAAAAAAAATGCTTAAAAGGTATTTTCTTGTTTATTAAGATCGTAGGAAGGTTTTAAAAACGTTTAAAAGAAAAGTCCAGAAAGTTCAGAAATACCTAAACTATAAACACGAAATGACAGGTTAAATCGTAGTAATAATAGTCAATCAGCTGCTCATAGTATAATTATCTTTAAGTGTTGCCAACCTATTTCCAAGCGTACACGGATTACGTGCATAATGGAACCACGCTGTTTTGTGTTGTTTCGTTGGAATCCTGATGTGCGGCAAAGTTTAAACCGTACGGCAAAGTATAAACCGTACGGCAAAGTATAAATATGCAGCAATTAGCAGCTTTCTGTACTATAAACAGTACAAGGAAGCCAACTTTGTCGGGTGACTGTAGGAAAAATTTATTGTAAGTCCGGGCTTAAATTTTACAACATCAACAAGACACGTCAATTCGCGATTTTATCCAATCAAACTATACATGTCCTATTAAATTGTATTATGTAGGTTTATTAGGTAGGGCAGTAAAGGTTGATCTGAAGTCATTTCCGTCCTACGTCAGGTGAAGTGTGTCAGTAAGCACTGAATATACATACGCCTCGACACTCCCTGTCTAACAAATAAAAGCATTCTATATGGAAAAGTGTATTGTACAGAGAAGTAATCCTAATTTGTATGCATTATGTTATATTATCTTTATTTTTTTGATACCGCATTATATAGGATATATATAAAATAATACTTTGCTTCTCCATGGTATCATATACCATGTTACAGTATGTGTAAAGGGTGTGTTGTCTCGTCTGTTACCAGCAATGTTATTTGTCTTCCTTAGTAAGATTGTGATGCAATTTGTCAAACTATCATGATTATTACATTGTCACTCAAGTAGCCTACTCTTATAAATAGTACATGCTTACTCTCTGCTACACCTCATGCTGCTATACCTTATGTGTTTGATACTCATAGAATGTCTTTCAGTCATAGGTATAATGTGTTTGCCTATTTAGTATAAAGGCATTAATATAACAACGAACGATATGGGATTTTAGTCACGGTTTCATAAGTCCATTCTTTTGTGATTTTCCTTGTATAATGAATCCTGTAACTTTTAGCGAATTTCCCTATAGGGAAATAACATAGTATCTATTAACATACCGTAGGTGGTAGGTGACACGATAAGACCTAACCCAGGACCGATTTACTTTTCCATTTTGATTTCCCAACAGGCTAAAAACACTATTAATTCAAATTGTTAGATAGTGTATGTATATATACCGTAAACACGATGACGACGAGTAATTTTGGTCCGATTTTCATGAAATTAGGGTTGAAGGTGTAGGTCGGGATAAACTTTAATGAGTTCACGAACCAATATGATGAGACCATGGGAAAGGATTTTATGGGGTAAAAATTGCTTTTTTAAATTGCTTGTTTTTGACCCTCGAAACATAAAATTTCCTAACTTCTCTCTAAACTATTTTAAAGAGCTTACAAAAACCACATCATTTAGTTTCCTTAAGTGTTTTGTACGGTTCATGATTATGGAGAAAATTAAAAAAAAAACTGTAAATTTAAAATTCTCATGTTCTTTTATGGAAATTAAGTAAATTGTTGTAGATTACTTGTTTATGGATAACTTATGTTGATTAAATTTTGTAAATTTATTTATTTCACCTTATAAACTATTAAGATTTAGTTAAAAAAACACACCGTCCCCATTGATGCAAACCTAAGTAGGTACTTGTGAAATGTAATGTCATTTAATGGGAAATCAATGTGTCTTGCTAATGTAAATATTTGTGTATGAATCCAATAAGATTAGCCTGCAGGTGCCGCGGCGGGGTTATTTGTTGATACTGTACGATAATATGCATCAGCTAAAGCGGACTTGTAGTTGTAGTTGTAGGGTTTATAAGGAGCCTAGCACAGCTATCAGGGTTCACACGTATTTAATGATGGTAGATGCCGACAGGAAGTAGATTGAACGGCAATTTGAATGGAGATTCCTCTTTGGATTCCAAACCTCCACAACTCCACCCCCAGCCCCAGGACCCAGCTACGGGATATGGCGTAGGTTCTCGTCCGTGCTTCAAACTTCACCGCTCTCGTCTAACCAATGCAGTAGTACCTCATCTACCCCCAGCCCCAGGACCCAGCTACGGGATATGGCGTAGGTTCTCGTCCGTGCATCAAACTTCACCGCTCTCGTCTAACCAATGCAGTAGTACCTCATCTACCCCCAGCCCCAGGACCCAGCTACGGGATATGGCGTAGGTTCTCGTCCGTGCTTCAAACTTCACCGCTCTCGTCTAACCAATGCAGTAGTACCTCATCTACCCCCAGCCCCAGGACCCAGCTACGGGATATGGCGTAGGTTCTCGTCCGTGCATCAAACTTCACCGCTCTCGTCTAACCAATGCAGTAGTACCTCATCTACCCCCAGCCCCAGGACCCAGCTACGGGATATGGCGTAGGTTCTCGTCCGTGCATCAAACTTCACCGCTCTCGTCTAACCAATGCAGTAGTACCTCATCTACCCCCAGCCCCAGGACCCAGCTACGGGATATGGCGTAGGTTCTCGTCCGTGCTTCAAACTTCACCGCTCTCGTCTAACCAATGCAGTAGTACCTCATCTACCCCCAGCCCCAGGACCCAGCTACGGGATATGGCGTAGGTTCTCGTCCGTGCATCAAACTTCACCGCTCTCGTCTAACCAATGCAGTAGTACCTCATCTACCCCCAGCCCCAGGACCCAGCTACGGGATATGGCGTAGGTTCTCGTCCGTGCTTCAAACTTCACCGCTCTCGTCTAACCAATGCAGTAGTACCTCATCTACCCCCAGCCCCAGGACCCAGCTACGGGATATGGCGTAGGTTCTCGTCCGTGCTTCAAACTTCACCGCTCTCGTCTAACCAATGCAGTAGTACCTCATCTACCCCCAGCCCCAGGACCCAGCTACGGGATATGGCGTTGGTTCTCGTCCGTGCTTCAAACTTCACCGTTCTCGTCTAACCAATGCAGTAGTACCTCATCTACCCCCAGCCCCAGGACCCAGCTACGGGATATGGCGTAGGTTCTCGTCCGTGCTTCAAACTTCACCGCTCTCGTCTAACCAATGCAGTAGTACCTCATCTACCCCCAGCCCCAGGACCCAGCTACGGGATATGGCGTAGGTTCTCGTCCGTGCATCAAACTTCACCGCTCTCGTCTAACCAATGCAGTAGTACCTCATCTACCCCCAGCCCCAGGACCCAGCTACGGGATATGGCGTAGGTTCTCGTCCGTGCTTCAAACTTCACCGCTCTCGTCTAACCAATGCAGTAGTACCTCATCTACCCCCAGCCCCAGGACGCACAATTTTTATTTCAGCTGCAGTTATTTTAATAAGAACAAAACGAGAGCATCCTATTGGCTGAGGGAATACCATTAGCGCAATGAAACGGGCTGATGCTATCGGCCTCGGTGGTCTAGTGGATAGCGTGCCGGATTTCTAAATTTATGGTACCGGGTTCGAAACTCATCGGGTGCACAAACTTTTTGTCTAAGATTTTTGCATTATCAGCAAGTTTGGTTAGTTTTGTTAGGTTATAACAGTTAAATTTTATAATTAAAACCTTATAAAATTGAATTCTAGCTATTTATAGTTTTATTTTATGAACAGAACTATTTTTTCGATTAGTAAACCTTCATTCAATTTTTTCATTATCAGCAAGTTTGGTTAGTTTGGTTAGGTTATGACAGTGTAATTTTAAAAAATTAAAAAATATTAAATTTAATTTGAGGCGTTTATAGTTTTATTTTATGAACAGAACTATTTTTTTCTATTAGTAAGCCATTATTCAATTTTTTCATTATCAGCAAGTTTGGTTAGTTAGGTTAGGTTATGACAGTTTAATTAAAAAATTAATTATATATTTTTTTAGTTTTATGCCTATAGTAATTTTTTTTTAATTTCTAATTTTTAAACTCTTATTTTGTCCGTATTAAAAAACTGCAGCTGAAATAAAAATCGTGCCCCCAGGACCCAGCTACGG